ATAGAAGGCATCGTCATCTTCATCATCATTGCTTTATGCATGTGATGATGGCATATGAAGATTTTTGGAGCAGTGAAGTTTTTCAGGTAGATCTGCACTTTAGGAAAATTCAGTTGGCAGCAGCGTAGAGAATGGACTGATAACAGAAGAAAGAGAACTGATCGGGAAGCTATTAAAGTAACCCAAGTTAAAGATAATGAAGGTGTGATTAGGATGGCAGTTCAGGTAATGGAAAGGAAGGAAAGCTAGAGACATGGCAGAGAAACTGTTCAATTCAGCATTTATTCAGAAATGAAGTGAACACCCACTGTGCTCCAGGCTCTGGATTAGGTGCTGGGGCCACCAGACAAAGTATGCAGTCTTGGCCCTTGAGGACTCATCACAGGCTAGAGGGGAGGCACAGATGTATAAACAGGTAACCACAGCAGAGAGACAGGTGTTCTAATAAAAATATGTGTATGGGACATGTGGCATAATGGAAGGTCAAATCAACAGTGGGCTTGATTAGGCCAAAGAAGTCTTCATAGAAAAGGAGGAAATGGAATTGGGTATTGCCAGATGAGTGAATAGCCTAGCAAACAACAGCGAAGAGTGGTGTATTCGGGGTTCACCGCTTGGGACAGCAGTGAGATAGGAGTTAGGCTGTGGCTAGAACACAGAGGGTCTTGGGTCCACCTAGAGGCAAGCCCAGGATAAGGTACGTCCAGCTGTGGGGTGAACTTTTTATCACTTAACCTTTAGTGACTTGGTTTCCTCACCTATAAAATGAGGAAATGATAAATACTACCTTTTAGGGTTGTTATGAGAATTATATTGAGTAAATCATGTAAAACATTTAAAACCATGTATGATATACTTTAAGTGCTTAATAAATGTGAGTTACTGTTATTACTGGGGAGAGAGAGTAAAAGAGAGTCTAGGATGAGTCCAAGTATTCTGACTCGCAGGCAATAGATGTCAGTGCCATTAACAAGGATATAAAACACAAGAAGAGGAGAAGTTTGTGGGGAGTAGAAGTTCAGTTTTAAACACGGTGAGTTTGAATTGACCATCGAACCCCCAGGTTGAGAGGTTCAGGAGACATCTAGAGCAGGCAGTTAAGAGCTGGATATACTTTTGAGCATCGCGAGCTTATTAGATGGTTTGTAAAGCCACAGTAACAGAGTCACCCAGGGAAAGGAAAGGTAGTGAGAGGAAGGCTGAACACAAGACATTCAAGGAACAGTGAGAGAAAAAAAGGTTCAGCAAAAAAAAAGAAAAGAAAGAGGAAGAAAGCTTAGAAAGTAGAGATGAGCCAGGAAGACATCATCGTGGGAGCTGAGCAAGAAGGAGAATTTGGGGAAGAAGTGAAAACATTCGAGAAAATCCAATGATCTTGACAATCAGAAGGACTTATGTAAGAGCCGATTCTGTTAAAAAGTGGATGATAAGGTCTTGGTGATGTGAAGGTGGGTTGTGAGTTCACAGGTATTCATTTCATTATTCTTAAACTACACACAGACACACACACAGAGGAACACATAGATGGAGGGCACAGGCGGGGATCGGCCTCTTCTAGGCAGACCAGAGGGAAGGAAGGAGGTTGGACGTGAACCCACAGATTTGTCCTTGGGGAACATTTAAACTTAAGAGCCTTTGTTTTTTAGATGACATAGGAGGCCAGGTCACCTGTTGTGAGAGAGAGAACCAAAGCAAGGCTCAAGGAGAGTGACAAAATGTGGGAGTAACGCCTGAGGAATGAACGCAGGCATTGCCAGAGCCACATGGAGGGCCCACGTGTAGGGAAGTCATTGTTCTACTGCTGTTTCAGCAACATTGTGCACAGTTGCCTTTCCCTAAGCAGCCCAAGTATAGGATCAGAGAAGCAAGAATGAGGGCTTGATCCAAAATTGGAGATTTTATTACTTAGAGAAGTAGGCTATGAGTAAAAAACAAAATAAGAATAATAATTTAAAAAATTGGAGATCTTAGGGGGATTTGTATGAACCTGAGAGTGATCCTCACCTTGTGGGAGGGTCAAGGCTAAGCCAGCTAAGATGTCTGTTTGGTGGTTAGTATTGTGTGTTGGATTTCAAGAGCAATTTATTTAATGTGCCATTTTTTAGCTGAGGAAAAATAGGGCTTGGAGAGCCCATGGAATGAGCTGGCTAAGAGTAGACTGGGAAGAGCCAAGATGCTAATTCTTCAAAACAAAAGTCCAAAGGTCAGAGTTAAATTCAGTTCTTTGAAGCCAAAAATTTGAGGTAGAGCAGAGATGGATGCACAAAAAGAACAGGCCAAAAGGGTAAAGTGAGGTTCTTGGAGCATCCACAAGATTGCCCTACTGCCCTTAAAAGCCAACAGGAGGATATTGTAAAGGCTGGGAGGGCAGGAGGGGGCTTCGGAGGGAGCCATTAGGCTGTTTTAAAGGGGTGGGGTGGGCAGAGAGAAAGATGCAGCTCATCTTTAATGAGGTGAGGGAAGGAGCTGAGGAGTCCAAAACCATATGGCCAAAGCCTCAAAGGAGAAGGGTATTTGCATGAGGACAGCAAGCTAAGAGGATGTGGCATCTGCCTTCTGTGCCAGTGGTTTTTGAGGTTGGGTGGATGATGGATGGATGAGTTGGAGGGAAGGAAGGAAGAAAGAAAACAATGGAAAGATTACATGCATAACTGGGATTCAGGAAGAAAGATTGATAGTGCTCACAGAGCTGATACCCTAACATTCAAATTCAGTAGATACTGGACTGAGCACCCCACGTATATGAGGCAGTCACAGTGCCTGCCCACAGTGCATCTTCAGTAAATGTCTGTGCAGGGAATGAGTGGGTGCTCAGGGATGGACACTGATTAAGATACAAAGATCGGGGAGGCAGTTTTTACCCTTAAGGATCACAGCTTAGTGGTGTCTTAAAGTTTGCTCTTTCACTCTTGAATAAACTGTATTAAACACATTTTAACCTGAAAGTATGCATTATAAGAAGCTGTTGGTCTAGGAAGTGTTCTTTTGAAAGTATTGTTATTTATATTTTTGTGGACTTTTAATTTATTCCTGAGTAGCTATGGGACACACAGAAATAGCAGTTCGTCTTTTCTGGGTTTTTGGTAGCAGTCAGACACAAAATGCACATATACAAGGCATTCTGGTATACAGATGGAATCTGTATGCAAAGTTAACATGGACATATGGGGATTGTATGTGCAAGTCTGATGTTTAATCATGAGTAATTAGTTTGTACTTAGCAATTTTGGGCCCCTAAGGATCATATAATCCAAATTGTTTAAGCCAAAGAGTGATTGCAAAGGAAGCTATTGAGCAGCTGATTAGCAGTGGGATGGACTAAGGGACCTATCAGACAGTCACAGAGGAGGAAAAGAACAATTGGTTTCATGGTTTGTAATCGATAACTAACTCCTCTGCAAAGGATCTGAGACCACTTGTAGCAAAACACACATATCCTAAAGAGTAATTTAAATGAAAGAGAAAAACCAGAAAACCTGTAGAGGAAAGATGGCTATATGGGAGAGCCAAGTTGTAAAAAGGATAGGGTGAGGAAACTGATGAAAACCTACTCGTGTCTTCATAGCTTTCTTAATTGTGTAGCAGAAATCTGGGTAAGATCTGACCAGACAAGGCGGCCCAACTCTGACAATGATGACCAGTTCCTTGATTCAACAAAGACAGAGACCACTCTGAATACAAATTTGACAATCCTGATTAACAACCTCCTCAAATGGGACACCAAGGCACTGGCAGATACTCGGGGAGCAAGAGGTGGAAGGAGACAGGGACCTAAAGCGTTGCTGGATCCCACGTTGCTTTCTGGGGGGAACCTTGGTAGCAGCTGAATGGAGAAGGGATACCTCGAATGCACATGTGCGGAACCCACCTACCACCTGTGGCACGTGTCATGGTGGGGGAGAGATGATGTGGGCTTAGTAAATCCTCCCAGGGTGGCTTTGAACACGCTCGCCCTCCCCCTGCTCCCTGTGTGGGTTCCGCACCATCTAAGGTGCTGAGGGGGAGAGTGACCCAAGCAAAGAAGGCACAAGATTATTCTCAAGAAATCCTTTCATTCCAGAAACTTAAAAGAATCCCTTTTCAACACCTACCCACCTACTAAAGGGAGGTTAGGAAATGTCTTCACCTAAAGAGAAAGAATTCTCATTTTTCTTAAAATAGATCGTCTACTGCTTCTGTGTTTGCTTAGGTTTGGAAGCGCAAGCAAACCAAGAAATGGGGTTCAGAACCAATTTATAAACTCCAAGCTGGCATCTTGGTAATCAGACATCAGTTTAATTCCATAATCATTTATTGATTGCCACTGTCTTCTAGGAAATGACACTGAAGAAGAATACTGGAAGTGAATAAAACAACCCCTCCCTCCCTCTCACAGTTTATGTCAAAAAGCATATGACACATTATTGCAACTTAAGCTCACATTGTGTTCTTAATACTGTGTTATAAAAATGACACCCTTTTCTCTTTATTATATACACGTGATTTGTTTTTCCACTTCTCCATGAATGCCGTTTTTACGAAGACCAAAGTGATGTGTGGAGCTTGTTGGGAACTCATAGTTTATCTCTAATAGGATAAATAACTCCTCTAATAAAGACCCTAAAGTTAAAAGGACTTTGTGTATTCCTTGAGCGACATCCTGTGAATTTTGTGGGATCAGGTCCCAGACCCCTCTGTACTGCATTTTCCATAGAACTTTTACTAGTGAGTTATCCCTTTACCCAGGGGCTTAAACAAAGTGAAAATAGGACAGCCTTGCAGTCCCTTTTAAGGTATAAAGGGAGCATGGAGATAGCCATGGAGTCAAGAATTGGTAAAATTAGGAAAAGAAATCATAAAAGTGGGTTTCATATCCTTTTAAAAAAAAATTCTTCCATCCGTTATTCATTCCTTATCCCTTTCGTGCCTTACTGAGGCATGTTTGCATAGCTGCTTTACGTGCCACTAGCTTCGAATATTCCCTGTATCACAGTACCGTTTGTTTTTATCCCCTCCTTTAGGAGATGACCTGGCTTCCACCACTTTCTGCTGTTCAAGCACCTGGCAAAGTGGAACCAAGCAAATTTCCGTTTCCAAACAAGGTGAGATCTTGCGTTACTCAGGAGGAATATGCTTTATTCACGTAGATGTTAGCAGTGGACAGTGAGTTTACTCTTGATTGTCTTTTCCTCTGTAAATATTCCTGCCTGAGGCATATGAAGCTGATCCTTAACAGTTTGGAAGCACATATGTATTTATTCATCAGAGGGGAACAATCAAGCTTGCAGCCTTACTTACCTACACTTCCATACTCTCTGCAAAATGTGAAGCTTATTGTAATTGTCATCTTATCTAGAAACATTTGTGAAGTTGAAATGAATCTTGCAATCATTTTATACGTTCAGTGTGATTGTATGTCCTGTTTTTTCCTGAAAAGCTGTTATTAAATTAATGATATATCTTAAAAATCAGTGTCTTAGAATAGAAGACATGTGGTATTTAATTTCCCTGAGTACCTTTTTAAAGCTTAAAATATTTTCTAGGACTTTAAAAAAAGATTTCTATATTTTCTAAGAAAAAGCACACAAAAAATCAGCCACAAAATATATTTAAATTATTGCATACTTGAGCCTTATAGGTTTTGTTTGATTTTTTTAACCATACCACGACGTCTAACTACTATAAAATCATTATAAAAGATCAAATTATACAAATGGCAAAAGAACAAAATGTGAAAGTCTCTGCCATCTCTAGCCAGATTCCATTTCCCTACCCAGAGATTACTATGCAGAGTTTAGTGTGCACCAATTCAATTATTTTTCCCCATGCCTTATAGACACATACGTGCATGTGCAGATTTTATAACTGTTAAATTGTATAGTACTAAAAGCATTTTTTTCTGAGAGTTAATTTTTTCCAGATACCCACAATATATAAATAACATTGTTAAATACAAATATCACACCTTTCTAAAGAGACTTATTGAAATAATTGTTCCTTACTGTTATCACAGAGGTAAATTCCATTCTAAAAATTGATTTCTGTTTTCCTTAACAATATATATTTGGAGATCTTTGCAAGTGAACATGTAGTGATTTTCTTCATTCTTCGAACAGCACCAAAATATTTTGTAGTTTGAATTTGCTTTAATTTATTTAATCAAGCTGCTTTTGATGGACATTGAGATTGTTTATGGCTTGTTATTATTATAAACACTGTTACAACAAACACTTTTTTATTTCAAAATATTAAGGGGGTACAAATGGTTTTGTTATATGAATAGCTTTTGTAATGCTTGAGTCAGGGCTGTAAGTGTGCCATCACCCAAATAGTGTTCATTGTACCCGTTAGGTAGGTTTTTGCCTCTCCCCTTCTCCCCCTGCCCCCTGCTTGATTTCGAGTGACTTTTACTTCCCTCTGTGCACACGTGTGCCCCTCGGTTAGTTCCAAATTTATTAGAGAGTACATGTGGTGTCTGTTTTTCCATTCTTGGGATACTTCACCTAGGATCATGTTCTCCAGTTGCATCCAAATTGCTGCAAAAGGCATTAATTCATCCCTTTCATGGGTGAGTAGTACTCCACGGTATACATATACCACATTTTGTTAAGCCTCTCATGAATTGATGGGCACTTGGGCTGATTCCACATCTTTGCAATTGTGAATTGTGTTGTAATAAACATTCAAGTTCAGGTGCCTTTTTGATAAAATGACTTCTTTTCCTTTGAGTATATACCCAGTAGTGGGATTGTTGGATCCAGTGGTAGGTCTACATTTATTTCTTTAAGGAGTCTCCATACTGTTTTACATAGAGATACCAGCTCTTCTTTGTAGGTCTGATAGAATTCAGCTGTGATTCCATCTGGTCTGGGGCTTTTTTTAGTTGGAAGATTTTTTATTACTGTTTTAATGTCACTGCTCATTATTGGTCTGTTCGGGAATTCTGTTTGTTCCTGACTGAGTCTTGGGTGGTTGTATGTTTCCAGGAATTTGTCCATTTCCTCATCATTTTCTAGTGTACATATAGAGATTTTCGTAGTATTCATGGATAATATCTTATATTTCTGTGATATCAGTTGCAGTATCTCCTTTTTCATTTCTGATTGAGTTTATTTGAGTCCCTTCTCTTCTCTTCCTGGTTAATCTAACAAGAGGTCTATCAATTTTATCTTTTCAAAGAACCAATTTTTGTTTATTTTTTAAATTTTTTTGTTTATTTTCTGTTTCATTTAGTTCTGTTCTTACTTTAGTTATTTCTTTTCTTCTGCTGGTTTTGGGTTTGGTTTGCTCTTCCTTTTCTAGTTATTAGGTTGTTAATTTGTGATCTTTCTGTCTTTTTGATGTAGGCATTTAAGGCTTTGAATTTTCCCCTTACGATTGCTTTTGCTGAATCCCATAGATTTTGATAACTTGTGTCCCCGTTGTTGTTCAGTTTGAGGAATTTTTTGATTTCCATCTTAATTTCATTATTGACCCAATAATTGTTAAGCAGCAGATTGTTTAATTTCCATGACTCTGTGTAGATTTGAGTGTTTCTCTTGAACTTGATTTCTGGTTTTATTCCACTATGATCTGAGAAGATATATGGTATGATTTTGATTTTTCTTTAATTTGTTCAGACAAGTTTGTGGCCTAAGATATGAACAATCTTGGAGAATGTTCCACGTGCAGATGAGAAGACTGTGTATTCAGTAGTTTTGGGGTAGAATGTTCTATAAATGTCTGTCGGGCCCATTTGTTCTAGAGTCCCATTTAAGTCCAGTGTTTGTTTATTTTCTGCTTTGATGATCTGTTCAGCTCTGTCAGTGGGGTGTTGAAGTCCCCAGCAATTACAGTGCTGCTGTTAACAAACACTTTTTGGAAATGCCTCTTTGTATGCCTGCTATTAAATGTCTCTAGTGAGGCTATCTAGAACAGGAATTATGGCTGGCTCGGGGCATCAGAAACCACAATTACCCTTGGCTGTGCTTCAAAAGTACTTTTTATATATCTTTGCCAATGATTAATATTATCTGGCCTTTTATCATTGTGTCTGTATGATGGATGAAAAGTTGATACCTCATTGTTTTCATTTGCATTTTCTCAATTACTTCTAAGCTTGAACAAAGACTATTATTCCTTTACGGATTGCCCATTCATTGTTCATTGCCACTTTTAAAAAAATGATTTGTAGAAACTCCTAACATCGTATTCATTTGTCTGTTATATGTGATGCAGCTATTTTCTTGTAACCTTTTTATGTGCCTTTTATACTAGCTAAGTGTTTAATATTTATGTCAGAGAAAAAAGATCTTCCCTGTTCCAGCATTCTAACAATGTTCTGTATTTTATTCTAATTCTCTTACAGTTTTTTAAGGTTTTTTTTTTAAATCCGTGAGTGGTATGACATAGGGTTCTAGTTTTATTCTCTTCAGTGACTAGTAAATTATTATAACACCAACAATGTATTAGTCCATTTTTCCCCCATTGATTTGAAATAACGTATGTCAACAGTTGAATTTCTTATAGATACATGGATTTGTTTCCAGACTCTATTCTGTTTTTTGATATGTTTATGTAATTCTTTCCTAGGAACTCATTGTTTAAATCAGAGTTTGATAGACTTTTTCAGAAAAGGATCAGATAGTAAATAGTTTCAGCTTTGTAGACAATACCTAAATGAATGAATGTGGCATCTCATTGGTGGAATCAAAACCAGAACCCATCTGAAGTTCCCAGGCTTCTAGCCCTTTCAATACAGGGGAATTTAGTTGAACGGTTTATTTAGTATGCCAATGGCATCCTGCCACACTTAAAATGCAAGATGCTTACAATCTTTGCACATAATCTGTTCAAAATAATGACTGACCCAAAATATAATCAAATAAGCATTTTTATTTTATATATATGTATCCATGATGTAAGTACAAATTTTAATATAACTGGGCACATACCAAAGCATATTTTGTTGTGACTTTTCCAAAAGGATTATACAGAGTTCTGTTTTGTTTCGTGTAGATACTTAAGTGTAAATAATGACTTAACTCCTGAGGTGAAATTGAGACTTTAAATCATTAATGAAAAAATTTCATTTGTTCAGCCTTATGGTGGTATAAGTGAGAAATCAAAATTGTATACATTTAAGATAAACAACTTGATGTTTTCATATTTATATACTTTGTGAAATAATCACCATAATCAAGCTAATTAACATATCTATCACCTCATATAGTTACCAATTTCTTTTCTTTTCCGTTTTTTAATGAAAACATTACCCTCCTAGTAAATTTCTAAAGATCTACTCTCTTAGCAGATTTCAAGTATACAATACAGTATTGTTAACTATAGTTACATTTTTGATATATCATATGTCATTCACACACACATATATATATAGCATAGACATTATGCTAAGTGAATTAAGCCAGACTCAGAAAGACAGATACTGTATGATATCACTGATACGTGGAATCTAAAATAGTCAAACTCATAGAAGCAGAGAGTAGAATGGTGGTTGCCAGGTGCTGGGGCATGGGGGGTCGGAATGGGAGTGTTGGGCGAAGGGTACAAAGTTTCAGTTATACAAGATGAGTAAGTTCTGGAGATCTAATGTACAGAAACATGACTATAGTTAAAATTTTTTATTTTTAAGACAGAAAGTTAGAAGCACCTTATTTTTCACTCAAAAAGATCCATTATTATCTATCATATAGGGCACAGAATTTCTAATTTAATGAAAATAAAGTGTCTTATTTAGAACTACTACAGGATTCACATGGAGGTATTTCACTTCTTGATCTTTTTGCCATGCCCAAGAAAGAAAGAATAAGTGATTTTCTTTCAAAGAGTAGGAACATTGCATGATTTTAATAATGCCTTTTTTCAAAAAGCTCACTATAAGTACTGATAATTTATCTTGTACACAGGAAACAAGACTGCATTCGTTTTCTATTTCTGCTATAACAAATTACTACAAATTTAGTGACTTAAGACAACATGCATTTCGCTTACACTTCTGGAGGTCAGAAGTCTGAAATCAGTTTCACTGAGGTAAAATCAAGGTCAAGGGGGCTTAGTTCCTGCTGAAGGCTGTAGGGGAGAATTCGTTTTCTTGCCATTCCCA